TTGTGCACAAGTGCATTCGCGATTTCTCATTGAGGATACGACCAAAAACAATTCAACATATATTCCTCCAGTGCCTCGGCCCAGTATGGCTTTGGAGGTGGTGGGATAGGGTCGGGGGCCACATGGATATGCCGGAAACCTGGCCATGGGAATGGAGAGCACTATTATGTGCAGTGTGGAGCCCGAACCAGGCGGCCGAATTCACAATTAACCTTTTCAAAATAGCCAAGAAGGCTATTCTCGGGGCTTTATGACAATGACGCTGCACCTTTCAAACGGAAGGTATAAGGTTCGAGGGCCCAAAATTCACCGATACTATTCGGCAACAAGTGCAAACTGAGCAGAAGGGACTGACCCTGCCTTAGTGCGAGTTGTGCATAAGTGCATTCCCAATTTCTCAGCGAGGAGATGATGAGAAACAATTGAACACATCCTCTAGTGCCCCAACCAAGTATCGCTTCGGAGGTGGTGGGACGGGGTCTCGAGCCACGTGGAAATGTCGGAAACCGGGCCATGGGAATGAAGAGCACTATTATGTGGAGTATGGAGCCCGAACCAGGCAGCCAAATTCACAATTAACCTTTTCAAAATAGCCAGGAAGGCTATTCTCTGGTCTATATGACAACGACGCTGCACGTTTAAAATGGAAGGCGTAAGGTTAGAGGGCCCAAAATTCACTGATGCTATTCGGCAACAAGTGCAAACCAAGCAGAAGGGACTGGCCCTGGCTTAGTGCAGGTTGTGCACATGTGCAATCCCAATTTCTCATCAAGGAGACGACCAGAAACAATTGAACACATACTCCTCCAGTTTCCCGGCCCAGTATGACTTTGGAGGTGGTGGGACAAGGTCTGGAGCCACTTGGAAATGCCACAAACCTGGCCATGGGAATGGAGAGCACTGTTATGTGCAGTATGGTACCCGAACTTGGCAGCCGAATTCACAATTAACCTTTCCAAAATAGTCAGAAAGGCTATTCTCTGGGCTCTGTGACAACGACGCTGCACCTTTGAAATGGAATGTGTAAGGTTAGAGGGCCCAGAATTCCCGCTACTATTCGGCAACAAGTGCAAACTGAGCTGAAGGGACTGGCCCTGCCCTAGTGCAGGTTGTGCACAAGTGCATTCCCAAATTTTCAACGAGGAGATAACCAAAAATAATTGAACACATATTCCTCCAGTGCCCCGGCCCAGTATGGCTTTGGAGGTGGTGGGACGGGGCTTAGAGCCACGAGGAAATGCCAGAAACGTGCCCATGGGAATAGAGGGCACTATTACGTGCAGTATGGAGCCCAAACCAGGCAGCCGCATTCACAATTAACCTTTTTCAAAATAGCCAGGAAGGTTATTCTCTGGGCTCTGTGACAACGTCGCTGCACCTTTGAAATGGAAGGTGTAAGGTTAGAGGGTCCAGAACTCACCGCTACTATTCGGCAAACTGAGCAGAAGGGACTGGCCCTGCCCTAGTGTATGCTGTGCACAAATACATTCTCAATTTCTCATCGAGGAGACGACCAGAAACAATTGGAGCCACTTAGAAATGCCAAAATCCTGGCCATGGGAATGGAGACCACTATTATGTGCAGTATGGAGCCCTAACCAGGCAGCCGAATTCACAATTAACCTTTTCAAAATAGCTTGGAAGGCTATTCTCTGGGCTCTATGACAACGACGCTGCACCTTTGAAATGGAAGGTGTAAGCTTAGAGGGCCCTGAATTCACCGATACTATTCGGCAACAAGGGCAAACTAAGCAGAAAGGACTGACCCTACCCTAGTGCAGGCTGTGCAAAAGTGCATTCCCAATTTCTCATCGAGCAGACGACCAAAAATAATTAAACACATACTCCTCTAGTGCCCCAGACCAGTATGTCTTTGGAGGTGGTGGGACGGGGTCTGGAGCCACTTGGAAATGCCGGAAACCTGGCCATGGGAATGAAGAACACTATTATGTGCAGTATGGAGTCTAAACCAGGCAGCCGAATTAACAATTAACCTTTTCAAAATAGTCAGGAAGGCTATTCTCTGGGCTCTGTGACAACGACGCTGCACCTTTGAAATGGAAGGTGTAAGGTTAGAGGGCCCAAAATTCATCGATGCTACTCGGCAAGAAGTGCAAACCGAGCAGAAGGGAGTGACCTAGTTTGACCGTGCCCTAGTGCAGGCTGTGCACAACTGCATTCGCGATTTCTCATCGAGGATACGACCAGAAACAATTCAATACATATTCCTTCACTGCCATGGCCCAGTATGGCTTTGGAGGTGGTGGGACAAGGTCTGGAGCCACTTGGAAATGTCGGAAACCTAGCCATGGGAATGGAGGGCACTATTATGTGCAGTATAGAGCCCAAACTAGGCAGCCGAATTCACAATTAACCTTTTCAAAATAGCCAGGAAGGCTATTCTTTGGGGTCTGTGATAACGACGCTGCACCTTTGAAATGAAAGGTGTAAGGTTAGAGGGACCAAAATTCACCGATACGATTCGGCAACAAGTGCAAACGGAGCAGAAGGGACTGGCCTTGGCCTAGTGCAGGCTGTGCACAAGTGCATTCCCAATTTCTCATCGAGGAGACGACCAGAAATAATTGAACACATATTCCTCCAGTGCCCCGGCCCAGTATGGCTTTGGAGGTGGTTGTCTGGAGCCACTAGGAAATGCCAGAAACCTGGCCATGGGAATTGAGAGCACTATTGTGTGCAGTATGGAGCCCGAACTAGGCAGCTGAATTCACAATTAACCTTTTCAAAATAGCCAGGAAGGCTATGCTCTGGGCTCTGTGACAACGACGCTACACCTTTGAAATGGAATGTGTAAGGTTAGAGGGGTCAGAATTCACCGCTACTATTCGGCAACAAGTGCAAACTGAGCTGAGGGGACTGACCCTGCCCTAGTGCAAGTTGTGCACAAGTGCATTCCCAATTTCTCATCGAGGAGATGACCAGAAACAATTGAACACATATTCCTCCAGTGCCCCGGCCCAGTATGGCTTTGGAGGTGGTGGGACAGGGTATGGGGCCACTTGGATATGCCGGAAACCTGGCCATGGGAATGGAGAGCACTATTATGTGCAGTATGGAGCCCGAACCAGGCAGCCGAATTCACAATTAACCTTTTAAGAATAGCCAGGAAGGCTATTCTCTGGGCTCTGTGACAACGGCCCTGCACCTTTGAAATTGAAGGTGTAAGGTTAGAGGGCGCAAAATTCACTGATAATATTCGGCAACAAGTGCAAACCGAGCAGAAGGGACTGGCCATGCCCTAGTGCAGGTTGTGCACAAGTGCATTCCCAATTTCTCATCGAGGAGACGACCAGAAACAATTGAACACATATTCCTCCAGTGCCCCGGCCCAGAATGGCTTTGAAGGTGGTGGGACAGGGTCTGGAGCCAGTTGGAAATGCCGAAAACCTGGCCATGGGAATGGAGAGCACTATTATGTGCAGTATGGAGCCCAGACCGGGCAGGCGAATTCACAATTAACCTATTCAAAATAGCAAGGAGAAGGCTATTCTCTTGGCTCTATGACAACGACGCTGCACCTTTTGAAATGGAAGGTGTAAGGTTAGAGGGCTCAGAATTCACCGATACTATTCAGCAACAAGTGCAAACTGAAATAAGAGTCCAATGGGGGGGAAGGAGTGATCATCAGAGACTACTGCCTGAGTTTAAATGAATGGACCAAGCTGGGCGTTTCTATCCCTCTAAGACCTCCGGGAGACTTTCCAGATATGTTCCCACCCCCGGCACATTCTCTGGTGGAACTGGAGTGGTATGGAATATATTGAAAAAGGGGGGAGTTCGGAGACAGGTATGAGGGGCAAGGGTCAGGGCTCAGGGTTCAGGGTCTAGGTTTAAAGTTTTAACCCACAGTAAGGGGTACAACCAGCAGCAACCACAGTCAGTCTCAGTTGAGAATGCAGAACACTCGCACTCAACAAGGAAGGGTAGGACACGGGGGTTAGGGTCCAGGATTAAAGGATTACTAGCAGAAAAAATGCAACGCAGAGCACTTGTACTCAATAGGATACATGGCGCCCCACCGGAAGGGCGAAGAGGTGCAGAAGAAGTTTCAAGGATTCCCTCGAACTCAGTCAAAAAAAAAAAAGAAGTAGCCACGGGACCTGCGGTTTCTACCTCTTCCCCTCCGCTACCATGCAGCCAATAAACTTTAGGTCGCTGCGTAGTTCTGCCTGACAAACTCTTTTCTTGCTAGGTACGCACTGCAGCTTGCTGTCATTTCGGTCATTTCAGTCATTTCAGTCATTCACTTGTGTGCTTGTATACAACCAAACAATTTCAATGTTCAGGGACTCTGGACCCGCTTTCCAGGAGGTGCTGCTTCCCAACAATAGATGGAGCCTCCCCGATAGTGCTACTTGGTGGTGCCTGCTCTTACCAGCACCCCTAGCATGAGCCCGGGCTGTTTCTTCTTCTTCAAAAAAAAACAAAGGAAATCCATATGGAATGTATGGTGAAAATCAGGCGTTGTTGGCCCTGGCTCCATTGGATTCTTTTTTTTCTTTTTTTTTTCAGTGGAATTTTTAGGTGGCTCATTCCTGAAGTGTTACACTTTTGGCAGGGTTTTCTTTTTCGATCTTTCTTGGGATCTTTTGGCTCTAGCTTATACTGAGAGGTTTTCGCGACTAGAGGTAGAAGCTGACATACGTGTTTCAGGTTCTTTAAACGTCTTTTTCTTTTCTATTTGCTCCTTTCCACAGGGAAGGAGCTCCGCCTGCTGAGTGAGGCTGGAGACCTTACGGCCCCTGAATCCGTAACTCTTTCAAGTTTCAAGCTATCTTGTATATTTTGCCTTGGGCACTGGGGGAGGGGAGGGGGGGGGGGGGGGACACATCTAGATGTGTATAAGAGACAGCCCTATAGGAGAAGTGGTTGGCACCCAGATCGGGTGCAGGGCTGCAAGTATTTTTCAAAGATAGATTT